TCGTGGATGATCGTGTGCGGCATTTCCCCATTTCCCACACACAAATTGCCCTAACGAGTGGAATAATTCGACATGTAAAGTCTGCGCGGCCCCCCTGCATTTATGCCGCACGAAATGTGTTACAAGAGGCGCGTGAAACAGAGAAATAAGAACGACGATAACGGCTTTCAGAAAATTAAAAATTTATTTAGCAAAAATTGACGACCTTTGAAATGCGACATCAAATTGCCCATGACGCTCCGCTGACGCTACAGAAGATAATTTACGTTATGTGTTAGGATAATGAGGCAATTTTATCGGGAAAATAAGACCCGCTTTGGCATCGCGAATTTCGTAATTTATCACCGGCAGGGTAATGAAATATGGATGAGTCGAATTAATTACGTTTACCATCATTCTCACTTCCAACTGTTGTAGAACAATTACAGGGTGTTACAAAAAAGTCTGATCTAGAGATGGGTAACACTGTGTTGAGTTGTTGCCGCTCTGTGCGCGAATGCGCTATAACTCATCGCGACTCCCGGCAGTGTTGGCACAAATTGAGGCACAGACAATGTCGCCTACACATGTTCCAAAATAAAACTTGTATTTCGGCACGATTTCCGACCACTATTGAATGTCATGGCGTGTCATTGGCGCACCAAACCGTCTCCAGTGCCTGAAAATTCACTGAATTACCAGCAGAACTTTTGAAAAACCGACGATCCGAGCCGAGAAACGAAAACCGGGAACGAATCCCATCAGACTGGAAAGGAGCTAGGGATGGTCGGTATTTAACGTAACCGTATAACAGTGTTCCAAACGTGTGACCTGAAACCGTAGTGAAAACGTCGAGTGATCTATCCAGCTGCAGCCGTTTGCCGAATTAAACCGTTCTTTTTAGGAACCGCCTCATAAACCTGAAAAGTGGTTCGCGCCAGCACAGAACCGATGCGGCATCTTCGAGCGCTGTCGCTCTATACAGTTGCAGCAGTTTCAGTAACCATTTGTCAACGGAAAATATGTTGTGTGTAGTGTGTATGTTTTAAGCAGAATGTGCACCTGCATTTAAGCAAGCTGACAATTTTCAAATATAAATTCAGTCAGAGATAAGATGAAAGTTATTTGAATAGTCATAAACGTTGTAAGGTCGACATACTTTTTTAAAATTATTTTTTGATGGTACCAAAATTAAATCGAGTAATACTTCGTCGAGGTTAGCCAAACACGCATTTCTGTTTGTTGTTATTGTGGATTATTTAATGTTATTGTGAAACGAAATGTGAGATATTATTTTCTAAAGCGGGTGCTATCATTAACGCACAACGAACTAGAATCAGTAAAAATAATCTGCAAAAAATTTTCGTCGAGCACTCTATGCAGTTGCAGCAGTTTCAGTAACCATTTGTCAACGGAAAATATGTTGTGTGTAGTTGCGCGTTACCTTGATGATTGTGTATCACTTCGTTCGAAAGAATTATGTTTTTAATAAAGGAAATTATTATATATCATCATTATTCTGCATTTGTAATGAAAAATGTAAAAAGTAACATCTTCCTTTTGGAACCGCATTTTGGAACCTATTACCAAGATGAAACTGGAACGTGGAAGTGGTTACATCAAAATAACCGTTTATCACACCTCTGAAAAGAGCGCAGCTAACACCCATTCACAAAAAAGGTAATAAAGACCAGTGCTCTCATTATAGAAGTAATTCGATTACGAGTACAGTGAGTAAACTTTATGTCCGCTTAGTTGGAGGCATAATAGACCAGGAATATGGTCCTAACGAAACAGAAGAACAGGCAGGATTTCTTGCCAGCCGATCATGCCTGGCTGGTATCTTCAGCCTTGTGTAGCTCGATGAGAAGAACTGCTACAAATAGAGATAAACACCTACTTTTCCTTTCCCGTCGAAAAACTTTGGAACGTGATGGAAAGTTATTCAATAAATAATCCTGCAATAAAACAACTCAAAATAGGACCTATCTGTCCGATCGCCTCTTCAAAAGTAAAGGTGCAAACAATGCTGTTGTTTATCCGCTACAGTTCTCAATGTAACTCCGCCTGGGACAGATGAGGAACGGATTAAGTAACAACAAACAACAACCACCAAAGCAAGGAACGATAACGACTATCAGAACATGGCATGTGGTTAGCTGATATAGGACGGGTGCAGCGGTCAGGGCGTTTAGAGAAATTGAGCGTGCACTGCAGGCAATAAGGTAGCCTGGCTCAGAAAACTTGAACATAGAAAACTCAGTTATCTTCCATAGTGGTAACAGTCGGAACGTACATCAATTCGGTACCGGCTTTTCAATTAAGAAAAACCCGCTGGGCTCAGTCCGAAAAACCTTTAACGAACGACTAGCTACCTAAGGATGAAAGGAGGAACATTTTATAACTACTCCTTACTGTCTGTACGACAGTTCTATGACCCTGGAGAATAAAATAGGCGCACTACCTAAACAGGATATGAAACTTATATTAGCAGTAGTCCTGGGTAACTCAGTGAATTTTTAGGAGTTGACGCATTACTGAGCAAATGGTTTGTTGCGCCAACCCAACGCACCAAGCTGTACCAAGTAACTGACTTCCGTTGCTGCAAAAACGTTACTTATGAAAAAGGAGGTAACCTTTCTTCCTTGATTAGTTGTTTGGGCAAAGTGGTAAAAAAGTTCATGACTTTTTTTTAGATGTTGAAATTCTTTCCTCAGAAAAGCACAAATGTTGGACATTTTTCTGCGGTTTGCTGAGTGGTTTTGTCTAATTCTGCGGGAAACTTCGCATGCGGCCACTCTTCAGAAGAATTTGCAAAAATTGTCCAACTCAGTTATGGAGGAAAAACGTTTTTCGTAAGTATTTGCTCAAGAAGGTTTTCTAAAACGTGTCAGTTCCAAACCAGAAATGCTACAATGCACGTTAATTTTCAGTGCTTTCCAAAATGTTCTGTCTAATTATGCTGAAATGTTCGCATTCGGTCACCTTTCAGAGATTTTATAAACATGCTCGAACGTGAGTAGGTTTTAGAGAAAACGCTTTCTCTATTTGATCACGAAATGTTTCGAAAGCTCCTCATGAACAAACCAGAAACTCACGAACACTGGATATTTTTCAGTGCTTTGCAAAGGATCTTGCTTAATAACTCTGGAAATTTCACATGTTGCCAAGTTTCAAGAGATTTTGTAAAAATCGTCAAACTTGTGTTCGACTTAGAACACACGTGTTCTGTACTTCCTCATGATCGTTTGTAAACCAAAAATTCACTAAAAACGAATATTTATAAGCGCAAATCTTTTGTGTAATTACGATTAAAACTTCGCATTTGGCCAAAATTTTCGAACTTTTCGAAACTGAAGCAAAAACCTTTATCTAAACGGCTCAACAAAATGAATGTTACACAACGAAATTTCCCTAACTTTGGAACCAGATAATGTCTGATTGCTTTCAGCGATTTGGTTTCTGTTGAAACCGTTCTTAAGCCCCATGTGTTCTATGCTAGTGAACCTTTTGGGACAAATTGAGCACCTAAGGTAAATTTTCTACAGGGCGACGAATGACCAAATGTTAATTTTTGCAAAGTTTGGCATGCTCCTAGTTGGTCAAAAGAAACGGTTTTATTGGTAAAGATAAATCAAAAAGCTCGAAACAGTTCAAAAAAAGGCAAATACAAAAAGTTCTCAAAAAATGAACTTTTTGTATTTGCGGCGATAACTTTTCTACTCCTGAACCGAGTTTCACAATTGATATTTCACGATTGAAGGGCTGATATTGAAGCTTAAACTACATAGATGATTCAAGCTGAAAATTCGATATACAGTGCGGCACAAAAAATAGCTGAATCAGAATTGCCCCCGAAATCTGGAAGATTTTCAACTTAAGTGTTCACTTTCAAACATTTCGATCATTTTGGCATCTTTCGTTTATTACATACAATTATTACTTCTCAAGTTCACTGTTCTGAAGTTTTAACTTTAATATAAACACTAGATTTTGAAAACGGGGTCAAGAGAAAAAATATATCACTGCAAGACCAAAAAGTAAATTTGTTAAGACCACTCTGTAAATAAACGACTGTCAAAAAATTCAAGAACTTTTTTTCATATATGACATCTATCTTATTGCCCGTGGGGCCTAAATACAAAACAAAACGCTTTTTGTCCAATTGAGGGCATGTGGAACTTGCACCAATTTTGTATTATTTCATTTGCCACCCTGTAGAGGCTTTATCTGACGCACTAATTTTTTGAAAAACCACACACCAACTGAAAATGAAATGCACTAAATAATATGCTCTCTTCAGTCTACAAGTCTTCAGGATATTTTACAAATATTATCCATTTTGGATCGATTGCGAAGAAAAAAACCTTTTCTTTATTTCCACAAGATAGAGATTTCCTCAGAAAAGCACAAAGAATTATTTTCTGCGATTTGCTAAGTCTTTTGTCTAGTTCAGGAGATTTCGCAAAAAATGGCCAACTTGAGTCAGTTGTGGAGGAAAAACATTTTTCCTAAGTATTTGCTCGGTATCATTTCCAAACCAGAAATGGAACAACGAACGTTAATTTTCAGTGCTTTAGTAAAATTTTCGCATCAAACCGCCTTTAAGGAAATTTTCTCAAAATTATCGAACTTTTGTTTTTTAGAAGAAACGGTTTCTCTGTTTGGCCAGGGTTTTCTACAACCAAACCAAAAATGCAACAACGCTGAATATTTTCAGTGCTTTGCAACGCTTTGATCTAATTACGCTGAAACTTTCGCATTTCGCCGCTTTTCAGAAGATTTCATAAAAATTTTGGTGCGTCCAGACCTAACAAGCTGAACCCGACCCGAGCTTGAGCCGAGGCAAAGTTCCTTTGACGTTCCATTTTCTGTCGGTGTTTTGACGACTCATCAAGGGAATTTGCCGCGGATTCAACATTCAGAAAGTTCAGAAAACTCGTAGGTATTCAGTTTGCTTATTGGATTACTTTTTGTAACGACCTGCGTGTCGTAAAAGCTGGTCAAAGTTATGTACTTACAAAAATCAGCATACACATCACGGCTGGAATGTACGCGGTTTTGGCCATCCAGAGGTTCACAAATCTGTAGTTTTCACCAGTAACAACATTCCTAGAAACCAAAATAAACTTTATCCAGCATACCATCAAAAATGCTTTACTTGAGTAATTCAGACAAAATCATTAGAGCTGAAAGCTGGCAGCAAAGGAACAAAAACTCACTTCAAATATCCCTTGTTGTCTTCCCGTTCAGCAAAAGCCTTCACCGAAGTCATGAGAATGTCATTGTAGCCCAGAAACTCCTCTAAGAGCAAACGGCTGAACGAATCCCCGAAACAGGCATCTTTAGTGGGGTCCAAAAACACCACTTTTACTGGGATATTCAATTTTGCCCTCGCTGCAGGGCTCAAGCGCAAAAAGCCATATTCCAGCGAGTACTCGTAGATGTAAGCGTCTCCTAAGCAAAATAGTTGCCATATTTATTTGTGACCAGATAAAATCCGGGGGCAAAATACCCTTGTCTATTTGCCTGGAGTCTTCGAGCTTTTGTTTGGCTTTTTGCTGGCCATCAATAGCAGGCTGGCCTTTTTCCGTCATCACCACATCTGAATGCAGCTGGGCAGCAAGTGTGATCATATTCAAACTCCACTTGGTTGAGGAAACATTCAACGATTCATTTATGTAGGTTTGTCCGGTTGAGGGACATGGGGCTGTTTCAATGGGACCTAAAAACATCAATCAGTACTGAACCCAACTTCCGCATTCAATTACTTACTTGTTCGCTCAGAAATATTCTCCATCTCTTTAGAACCATGATCCATTGTGGAGGGCTCAATATCCAAGTTAGTAGCAATCAGCCCCATTATGCCAGACATTTCCTCCCTGGCAAGCTGAGTGATTTTTTCCTCTTTGGCATAGCTGTCAGCCAACGAGTAGCTTTTGTCCAAATTCCTAATAATTTCGACTCTCAAGATTCCATCTCTAGGCCAATTGGACACCACACTATCCAAACAAGTGTTGGCTGTTTTCGAGAAGGAAAAATGGATATACACCAAGACGAAGAGCGCTGTGAAAGCCTTGATCAGCATCACAAACTCGATGAATCGCCTCAAAGGCTTGGGAAAGGCTCGAGCATACGCTAGGGCTGCTCTATAGAACAGGGTATGGAACAGTCTTTCCCGGACATGAGCCAAGTTCAGGTATGTTCGTCTGTTCACTGTCACCGAGGGCTGCCGAATTGCCTGATGAGGAATCACGTTGCGGGGATTATCCGCGTTGAGCGGATTCTGTTGCTCTGCCATGGCTCAAAAGTGAAACTTATCGCATCCTGAAATTAGGGCAACATTAGCTTTACTCCTATATATGGTTGGAGGGATTTTCCAAGCACAATCAAAGGAGCAGGCCAAGTTGCGGCAGTTTTTCACCTAGAGCTAGCGCACTGCCAAATTGGGGCCCAGATTTCACATTTCCTAACCTCACATTAGGAAGCGCAAATTACCTCTGATTACTGGGACACAATGAGCTGCTCTCATACACGATGGGGCTTCAAAGTGGCAATTGCAGGGCTTCGTTGGGCATCGTAAAATTAATCAGAACGTTAGAATAAAGAAAATATGATAACGAATGACAGAAAACAGCTGACAATCGAAAACATCCGACAAACTGGGAGTGTCCACTGGCCGCTCAGGTACACTTTGTCAGAACTTGTGTTTATCAGTTAATAAATTATTAAGCCCATAGATGTTCACAATTTTTTTTAATATTTTCCGTATTGCTGAATTTATGCCAATATTAGCATGGGCTTTTCTAACAAATTTTGCAAATATATAAAAATCCATATATATCCGTTCAAACCGCGCACAATGCTTTTCAAGCTCTTTCATAAAGTCACGTGAAGCGCATCGGCCACTCCTGACCTTCATGAACATCAATGAACATAAACATAACCCCATATAACCCCAATGTTTTCTGAGTGAGTGTTTGTGATTATCGCCCGATTTTATCAGTTTCCTGATGGATACAAGTCCAGATTCAGCAGGAGGAGACGAGGAAGGCAGTGCAGATGCCTCATGGTCGCCCAATTTCACCCAGAAATGGTCGCCCCAGTCCCTGCACGACAAAAACCGCAAAAGCGCCTTTCAGCCCTATAAGCTGTGCTCCACCTCCTCCACCGTGCTCACTAACTTGCAACGGGGCAACACGCAGGCGGAGACTCTGATACCGCAGCCAGTAGAGCTGACTTTCCACATGAAAGCCGGGCAAGGAGAGCTGAACAGTCACGATATTCTAAAGGAACCCGATGTGGATGTGGTGGATGTGAACGGGTTGACTGCGTTACATTGGAGCGCCGCCTACGGCCAATACAATACTGTGGAGCTTCTGGTCAGCTACAATGCCGATGTAAATAAACTGGGGCCTGATGAGGAGACTCCATTGATTCTAGCGGCCAGTGGAGGCCATCACGAGGTCGTTAAGTTGTTGCTGAGCCATGGGGCTAAGGTGGACCATGTCGATCATGTGAGTGCAAAAATAATAATTGTTGTAGGCCTTTTATAGATTTTTTAGCTCTGCAATACAGCCTTAATGTATGCAGCTAAAGGAAACCATCCGCATACTTGCCAGGAGCTTCTGGGGCAAGGCGCCAACTTTGGACTCGTTAACTTAGACGATGACACAGCCTTGAGCATAGCTGTAGAAAGCAATAGTACGTCAGGTAAGCGGAAAGTGGAGTGTAGAATTCCTTGTTAGCCTGAGTTTGCCTCCTGTTTTGTAGCGCAAGTTGTGATAGAAAACCATATAATTATGTATATGGAGAACGGCCAATCCACAAAGGAGGATTAAGTGATACTCATATTAAATATGCGAATGTTATATTTGCTACAGTTTTAACATATTATACACTGACTGGCTTGAACCTCAATTGTCCAAGTTTTTTAGGGGTGATTTGCCTGCAAAGTACAGTTGTTGATAGTAATAAATGTGTGTTTAACATCAGGCCAATTGGCCAATGGTTTTAGGTGTTAGTCAGCGTATTATTTTTGGTACAATATAAATTATTATAAGTTATCATCGTATAAATTAATTGCTTAATACATTTAGGTCTAGTTAAGTAGAATTGCCTAAGTTATTAACATGGAATTACAGCTAGTTAGTCTATGTGTGAATGTCTTCTTGTGACTTCTTTGGTTTCGATATGTTTCCTACGAGCTACACGGCTACCAATCACGGCCGTATGTCGTTTTTCAGAATCTGAAACAGGCACATTAGCTACATTCGGTTAGAAACACATAAAGTAATGCATGGATAATCCGAACAGTCTACAGTTTAAAATGATTTTTATAATTGCAACATTCTGATTTTTGTGATGCGAAGTAAATGATTTGGTGAGTTTTCTGCGTTTGAGTTGCAATCTGCTGGATCTGGGTATGTACATATTTAATTAAAACAAGGGTTTCTGAGCGAAAACCATTCGGTAATCCTCGAAATGAAGGCTGATTGTCTGTAACGTTAGTCTGCAGGTTTAATCATGCAATGCCGATGATCCAGAATATATCGGAAGGAGTTTGTGTAAGAAGAATTTTTGTTGAAGGAGATGGTATATAAGTGTCTCTTGTTCTCCCATTAATCGACACCAACCTTTGATGTTAAATTATATTTGCGGGTTTCTTGGATTAGTGAGAAATAAAACCTCCATTGACCATCATAGCACGATTTTTATTTCAAACATTTCCTTGGTTGCTCCCTAGAATTAATTGGAAAATATTGTGACCACCGAGCAACGGCAAATAATTTACCGTCTTTTTGAAGAAAATTTCAACTCGAGCGTTCGAATGCAAGTTCTCGCGTTTTAAAGAAAATTGAAAAATATTTACAAACCTCCAAAGTACTTTGAATTTCAATGGATTTATTCTGCTCTGCGGTGGACATTCAGAGACGAGACATTAGTCTTTATTGATGATTGAAACTTCGCATGCAAAAGACATTAAAAGTGGCAGCAAAGACTGTAAAAAATCACCAAAAATTGCCTAATTGGGATTATAAAGAACACGAAGCGGGAAATCAAACAAGAATATTTGCTATTTAAATTGGCATAAGAAGCTCTGTTTTTTTGGTGCCCCTGAAGTTTTTACGAGGAATGTTGCACTATAGATTTTGGAAAATTCGCCAAAAATCCCTGTTTAAGGACACAAAAACCCAGCAGTGGCAATAAGAGAAGATCCTCTGCTGATTAAAATAGCGCAGAACCTATTTTTAGGGCTCCACAGAAAATTTGCGGGCAAAAGACTTAGAAGTTGCATGAAAGGGTTTGAAAATAGGCCAAAATTGTCTGCTTGAATGCTCAAACATCTTGCAGTGAGCAATTAGATTAGAGCTTTTGCTCTTTAAAATTGCACGAAGACAAATTTGCTAGCAGTTCTGTAATTGACGCCACTTGAGCTTGAAAATTTGCATGCAAAACATGTGAAAGTTGCATCAAAGATTTACAAAAATCGCCAAAAATATCTGCTTAAAGGCAATCGAATCATGCAGTGAACCATCAGATTGGAGGTTCTGCTCATTAAAATGGGACCATAACGAACTTCCTTAAGGTTTTGTTTCTGACGCCACTGAAGCTTGAAAATTGGAGTGCAAAAACTTGAAAAGTTGCACCAAAGATTTTGAAAAATTCTGGAATTGTTTCTTTAAGAGCACAAAAACAACGCAGTGGACAATCAAAGAAGAGACTTTGCTCTTTAAAATGACTCTATAACTCCATTTGGAGCGCCACAGGCGTTTTCGTGACAATTCACGTGTAAAAGACCTTAAAGTTACATCAAAGATTTTTAATAGTCGCCATAAGTTTCTGTTTAATTACCCAAACCCACACGGTGGCAATCAGAAAAGATTCTTTGTTTTTTTAAATAGCACTAGAACAATGGTTGTTTAGTTCTAGAGCCATTTTAAAGCTCTATTTTTAACGCCACTGGAACTTGGAAATTTGCGTGCCTAAAGCGCGGAAGGTTGCACCAAAGTTGTTTAAAAATCACCAAAATTCTCCGATTAAGAGCACAAAAACGACGCAGTGGACAATCAAAGAAGAGACTCTGCTCTTTAATGCGACACTAGAATGAAACCCCCTAGAAACTCTATTTTGGGCTCCACTGATGTTTGAAAATTCGCATATAAACGGGGAGGATAATTGCATCAAATATTTAAAAAAATAGCCAAAATTATCTCTTCACATGCTTAACAACCACGCAATGGACAATCAGAGAAGAGTTTTCTTTTTGAAATGGCGCCGGGCCAAACTCCCTAGAAGCTATATTTTTGACTCCACTGAAACTTGAAAATTCGCGTGCATTAAACGTGGAAGTTGCACCAAAGATGTTCAAAAATCACCAAAATTTTCTGATTAAGAGCACAAAAACGAGAGTGGACGATCAAAGAAAATATTCTGCCCTTTAAAACGACACTAGAACGAAACCCCTGGAAACTCTATTTTGGGCGCTCCTGGAGTTTGAAAATTCGCATGTAAACGGGGCGGATAATTGCATAAAAAATTAGCCAAAATTATCTCTTGAAATGCTTAACAACCATGCACTGGACAATCAGTGAAGACTTTCCGCTTTAAAATGGCGCCGGGCCAAAATCCCTAGAAGCTCTATTTTTGACTCCACTGAAACTTGAAAATTTGCGTGCCAAAAGCGCGGAAAGTTGCACCAAAGTTGTTTAAAAATCCCCAAAATTCCCCGATTAAGAAGAGCACAAAAACGACGCAGTGGACAATCAAAGAAGAGACTCTGCTCTTTAATGCGTTACTAGCATGAAACCCCTAGAACTTCTATTTTGGGCTCCACTGATGTTTGAACATTCGCATGTAAATGGGGCGGATAATTACATCAAATACTTCAAAAAATAGCCAAAATTATCTCTTGACATGCTTAACAACCACATAATGGACAATCAGAGAATAGTTTGCTCTTTGAAATGGCGCCAGACCAAACTCCCTAGAAGCTCTATTTTTGACTCCACTGAAGCTTGAAAATTTGCGTGGCAAAAGCGCGGAAAGTTGCACCAAAGTTGTTTAAAATTCAACAAAATTCTCCGATCAAGAGCACAAAAACGACAGAGTGGACGATCAAAGAAAATATTCTGCCCTTTAAAACGACACTAGAACGAAACCCCTGGAAACTCTATTTTGGGCGCTCCTGGAGTTTGAAAATTCGCATGTAAACGAGGCGGATAATTGCATAAAAAATTAGCCAAAATTATCTCTTGAAATGCTTAACAACCATGCACTGGACAATCAGTGAAGACTTTCCGCTTTAAAATGGCGCCGGGCCAAACTCCCTAGAAGCTCTATTTTTGACTCCACTGAAACTTGAAAATGTGCGTGCCAAAAGCGCGGAAAGTTGCACCAAAATGGTTTAAAAATCACCAAAATTCTCTGATTAAGAGCACAAAAACGACGCAGTGGACAATCAAAGAAGAGACTCTGTTTAGTAAAATGGTACTAGAGCGAAACCCCTAGAAACTTTAAGCGCTTTAATTGAATTAATCGAGCAAGTTACTATTCGGTTTATCCCCATACAATTTCACTAATCCAAAGTGCAAAACTTACACATTTGCCTGAATGTTTGGTATCAATAACGTAACCTTTAGAGCAGGCGTCCTGCATCATGTGGCACCACGTTTGGTAGGTGCTGTTGTTGGTACCACACACAGGACCATGCAGGAGTTTGGGGCGGCAGGAAATCGAACAGGCGACACATCGGGGCCGCCCACCCGCCTCCATATCCAGCAGACATTGCTGCCGGTCTTGGCAGTGGATGTTGTGGCATGTTACGTTGTCTGCAAGCAAAGAAAAGCCGAATTAATCCTCCTTGGAAGTAGCCCTAATTGAATTGAAACCTGACGGGAATTTGCATAGCTTTAGGTCTTAACTAGTCTGGTAGAAAGGCAATTAGAGCACCCAGCGTGGCCAACACAACTGGAACAAAGTAATGGAAAATATGACATTAAAATATGTAGATCCCCAGTCCGCAAACTGGCAAACTAGTCTAGACTAGACACAGAGTCGAATTAAACTTTATGCACATCTATCAGACTATATAGGATTAAAAGTGCGCTTTCAGTCCATGGCGCGCCTCACGTTGACGCTGCCCTGAAAAGAGGATTTCAAATATTAACATACAGAAAGGTTTTTTAATTAAGGCATTAGATTTTGTCTGTGGATTTCAGTTGTTTCGAAAGCAACGGCTCAAATGCGGTAAATATTATACTGAACCTCTGCGACAAAGTGCCGCTCCTCAGGCTCGAATAACCGAAGGCAATTTTCAGGATTTTTACGGTGTTACTGGCGTTTTTCAGAACGCTTTGGGGAAAAGACATGCGAAAAGTTTGCAGAGAATAAACCAGGGTTATGAAGTTTTCAAGCTTTGGTCGAGCAGTTCGTTCTCCAAGTAAGAATGATTGAAATTGAGTGCATTGAACTCACTTTGCTGTAGTTTTTGTTACCAAAAAACGCACAAAATTTGAGAAAAGTCCTTAATCAAATTTTGAAAAACCGCATTTTATTTCGCATTTGATGAGATTAAAATATAGGAGTTGCGGTTTTTGGGGGGAGTTTTTCGGGTTTCTAGTGCGTCGTGGAAAAAACATTCTGTAGTTCAATGTGTCAGAGCCACTTTCAACAATTTGCCTAAAATCAGTAGAAAATCTCAGTTCTAGTCAATTTTCAGACGTGATGGAGTTTTTCCTGCTCTATTTATTGGTGCCAAAAACTTCTTTCTGCCTGTTATAGTTTTTGCCAGAAAAAATCGTTTGTGGAAGTCTGATTTGTGGCCACCAGCTTTCAGTCGCTTGCAGTCTCAAAGGCGTTTTCAAAAATTTCCCAAAGATCTGCGGAAAATGGGTCGCAGGTAAAATTTTTAGGGAATATAGAGCATGCCCGTTTCTATTGAATGGCATGAAAGACCCTTTTCTATAACTTGCGGTTTTGGCACAAACAGTTTGTTTGTGGAAGTCTGATTTCATCAACCCAAACAACCATCGATTTTTAATTTGAGAATAATTTGAAAAGTTCAGAAAATGTCGTATCTTGGAACCTTTCCGATCATATACAAGCTTGCTTGTTCAACCTAGTGATGTCAGAAGTGTATTTCTTTGTCTCGAAGTTTTTTCACAAAAAACTCTATTTTGAAGGTCTGATTTGCCGCCATCCGATCTTGGATATCAGACGGAACCTGAGTCGTTATCAAAAATTTGCCAAAAATCAGCAAAAAATGGGTCGCTGGTGAAATTCTTGCGGAATATAGAGCATGCTCTTATCTATTGAACGGCATGAAAGACCCTTTTCTATATCTTGCGGATATGGCTCAAATAACTTGTTGGTGGAAGTCTGATCTGGCGCCATCAGAACCTTGGACGCAACAACAACCATCGATTTTTCATTTGTATACCGCCTTGCTTGTGCTATTTAGTGACGGCAAAAGTTGATTTGTATTTCCCGCAGATTGTTCACAAAAAATTCGTTAGTGAAGCCGTGAAGTCTGATTTGCCGCCATCCGATCCTAGATATCAGATGCCATCTGAAAGTCGTTTTCAAATAGTGTGTTTGTGGAAGTCTGATTTGGCGCCATCAGAATCTTGGACAAAACCACAACCATCGATATTTTATTCGAGACTAATTCGAGAAATCCAGAAAATGTCGCATCTGTGAACCTTTCGGATCATATACAGCCTTGCTTGTTCTATTTAGTGATGGCAAAAGTTGATTTGTGTTTCCCAAAGTTTTTTCGCAAAAAAATAGTTTGTGAAGGTTTGATTTGCCGCCATCCGATCCTGGATATCAGACGGAATCTGAAAGTCATTTTCAAGAACTTGCCAAAAATCAGCAAAAAATGGCTCGCAGGTGAAACTTTCAGGTAATATAAAGCCTGCTTTTATCTATTGAATCGCATAAACAACTCTTTTCTATATCTTGCGGCTTTGGCACAAATAATTTATTTGTAGAAGTCTGATTTGGCGCCATCAGAACCTTGGACGTAAGAACGACCATCGATTTTTCATTTGAGACTAATTTGAAAAATCCAGAAAATGTCGCATCTGGAAACCTTTCGGATCATATACAGCCTTGCTTGTTCTATTTAATGATGGCAAAAGTTGGTTTGTATTTCCCGTAGTTTTTTCACAAAAAATCGTTTGTGAAAGTCCGATTTGCCGCCATCCGATCCGTGATTGGAAACTCATTTTCAAAAACTTGCAAAACATTATCAAAAAATGAGTCGCAGGTGAAACTTTCAGGCAATATAGAGCATGCTCTTATCTATTGAATAGCAGAAAAGACCCTTTCTATATCTTACGAATTTGGCACAAATAGTTGATTTTTGGAAGTCTGATCTGGCGTCATCAGAACTTTGGACGCAACAACAACAATCGATATGTTCTATATTGTTGAGGTGGATTCAGTTTTTTTCAAAAAAAAATATATATATATGTATACTGATCATATACCGCCTTGCTAGTTCTATTTAGAGATGTCATAAGTATATTTGTATTTTCCGCAGCTTGTTCACAAAGAAATCGTTCGTGCAGCTCTGATTTGGCGCCATGCGATCTTGGATATCAGATGCGATCTGAAAGTCATTTTCAAAAATTTGCCAAAAATCTGCCAAAAATGGGTTGCAGGTGAAACTTTCAGAGAATATAGAGCATGCTCTTATCTAGTGAATGGCACAAAAGACCCTTTCTATATCGTGCGGATTTGGCACAAATAATTTGTTTGTGGAAGTCTGATCTGGCCTTATCATAACCATAGACTCAACAGTAAGCATCGATTTTTCATTTGAGACTAATTGGGAAAATCCAGAGTATTGAAATCCGGACTTCTGAATTGCCAAGCAATTGCGCTTCCAGGCCCTTTTGGAGGATATTCTTGCTCCGTCTTGCATAAACCGCATTTTTATCCTTAAATCAAGGGAACATCATCGAGGAACTCGGGAGAAATTTAGCTAAAGAAGTTGTAAATACATTTGGCTACTTAATTTGAGAGGAAATTCAAATGGCTGTGGGCCATTTGAACATGCAGAAGAAACATGCATGGAAGCTCTCAGAGTCCCACAGATTATTATTTCGCCAGTTAAAAACTCTAGCAAACGTTTCCTCATTGGCAAGCAAAATTTCCTGGAAAAAACTCGCATCGTTGGGTTGTTCTTGTAGAAAATGGACAAAATGTAAAAATTCAGAACAGGAGTAGAGGAATTTTTCAAAATTCTCCAAACTGTAGGCTTAGTTACGCCTGTTTCAGGACTTGTTGCAACAAAACTGGATTTTTATGGGAAACTGCTGCACTTAGAAGAAATGGAGCGAGTTGGTTTCATTTGCAGAAAAAGCTTCCTGAATTTCCCTAACCTATGTTCCTCTTGCAGATTTATAAACCGATCTCAATGGCCCTATAAACCTAAAAATTTCCTTGCTCTTGTGTTTTTGACCAACAAACCCACACTCAAGTTTCCCTCAATGATGTCGCATTCTTCCAATCTAACATGGACATTTTCTCGCTTCTAGTGGAGTAATATTCAGGTAAGCACACGTCCTTTCCTCCTTCACTTACCTCTACAGAATCCCTTATATGCTATTGGTATTGCTCGCCCCTTAAGGCAGGCGACCTCTCGCAAATGACAAGCGCTCTTATAGGTAAGTCCGTCGGAACCGCAGACTTGGCGCTGCTTTGGAACCGCTGGGCACGTTTTCTTCGAACAGTGGATGCAGTGAGGAGTGAGGTTTTGGTCTAGTAAGCACGTTTTGCTGTCTGGGCAGCTGATTTTATCACAAGAACCTGAAACAAGCGGGTTTTGTTTGTGAAGCTGAGGAAGATTCTGGTGAAAGTGAGGGCACTTACTTTGGCATACGCCATAGTAGGCCACGGAAAGGTTGCGCAGTCTTTGCTTGCAGGACTTCTTTTTCATCCGGCACCAGTTCCGGTACGTGCGGCCATCGGTGCCGCATACCGGGCCTTTCGGTTTCTTTTTTCCCTCCTTGCAGGATGAGCAGACGCACTTGGGCGTTCCTTTTCTCACTACGCAGCTTTTGCCCGGCTCACATTCGACGTTTTGGCAGGATTCTGCAATGGGGCAATTGAAAGAGAGTCAATCGGGGCAATGGTGCGACGTACCTTTGCATAGCAGGCACCGCACTCCGCCTCCAAACATGCGCCAGAAGAAGAGCGTGCTTGGATCGAGCTCTTCAGCCGACCAGGCCGTCGCTATGGAGGTGCTGCTTGAGCAACAGTCTTCTTTGGAGATTCTTTCGTAAAGCAGCTCTTTGCAGCGGCCGTTGTTCCTGCGGACCATGGTGGACCAGCACGTGCCAGCTGAAAGTTTGGTTCGAATTTTAGAGCCGATTTATCAAGAATTTTCCTGAATTAACACTTACAAACATACAGGGAATTTTTAATTGGGCGGTGTGTTTTTCGGAAAAAGGCTGGGATGAGAAAAAATTATGATGATATTCTTATCTTTCCTGGGTCTCAGTCAAAGTGTGAAGTAAAAATTTTGAACATCGTTTATTTCATTACGTTTCGGCGAGACAACAGCGCCATCATCAGATTTAAAATTTACACAAACTGCAAACACCAATTCACAATTAAAACATGTTGTATAAAAACTATAATTTACAAAGTTTTAAAACATTCATCAGTTTCGGAAGGAAAAAAGTCCTTTCTTCTGGAAGCGCAAAACACTGGAAAAACTTACCTCATGATTGGTAAAAATCAACTTTCCTTTAGGTCTTTGCCTTCTTGAAACCTTAAGTTCGTCTGAATTATTTTCTACATTTGTGAGAGTGATATGCATGTATTGAGATAAGCAGAAATAGTTTTAATTTTTCACCAGTGTACTGGGTGTTTCATACTTATGGCTGTATTAGGGTTTGATAAATGTTGCTAAGGTTGTCGGTATCTGATCTGCAATTTACTGCTTTTGCATGTTTTTTTATTTGTATCATTTCTTGGATTCTTCTTTTATGATAATTTGTTTTCCTAACTAATATATCTGCGTTGTTAAAATCAAAATTATGTAACATTTGGTGCGCATGTTGTGTTAATGCTGTTTTATTTTCACTAGTATTTCTCAGACTGTATTTATGTTTGTACATTCTCTTTTTTAAATATTGTTTAGTTTGTCCTATATACAGGGTGCTTTTTTAGCGCGAGAGAGTCCATTATTTCCGTTGGTGTTGAACTTTCGAAAAATAGTTTCATATAAAAATTGTTGACGCACAGTGCGCACATTTAAAAAATACATTATATGATACAGAGTGTCTCATAAAAGCGAGGCAAGATCAAAGTGTATTTTTTTAAATAGAACTACCAATTTTTCATTAGCTCAGGGAATGCAGCTTGAAACGTTGCATATGCACCGTTAATTGTTTTTTTCTTACTTGCGACGTTGGCAGATTATCGCCATTGTAGTAAAATTTTGCTTAAAAACATGGTATTTTAAAAATCATTGTAGAAGCAAAAAAAGCAGTTAGATACAAAAAAATACGTCTTTCCAATCACCACAGATCCAAAATTTTTGGCAAAATTGTTATTTTTTTTTCGAACTATTCCTTGGTAGGTGGTTAGATATGGATAAGTTACATGACAAATCAACTTTGGTTGGTTCAAAAAACTTTACTTTGTGAGTCACAGGGGGAAGACGAATACTGAAAAACTGAAACTGTAACAAATGCGAATCAACTCCATGTAAAATCGATTCGGTAAAATGGAAGGAAGGAAAAAACTCCATTTAACTCCATATTGTAAATTGTAGTACCGATGAACTCAAGGGCGGATCCAGGGGGGGTCATGGGGGTAATGACTTCCCCCCCATTCAATTCTCTAGCCAACGATGTCAAAACGAATTATCTGGCTCGAATGGTTCTTGAGAAACTTCGAAAAAAGCAGCGTCATGTTCAAGTGGATTTTGCAACTCAAAAAAAACCACGCAAATCTAAAACTTCTTGAATGCAAGCATTTTTTGAGAAAACTGCCAACATTTTCTCGATCGATGATTCACTTGCTAAAAAGGCCATATATTTCTCTCTAGAATGACATACAAATTTAAATTTTTTTCTATATAACCCCCCCCCCCC